TAAAGAGCATAAAGAAGTACAAGATGCGTGGTATAATAAGATGCGCGTTATCGATGTAAAAATACGGTAATCCCCATAAAATGGTGAAACAGTTGTCATCATATCATTTATCTTCAGAACTGAAGATGGCAACTTATGAGAAAAGACTAATCAAAATGGAACGGAAATAAATAAACGGAAAATTATTTTGCCCATAATGAACTGAAAGTATTTGACATTAGACAAAAAGAAAAGTATCATCCACGTTACTCAGGCTGCACAAAAGAGCGGGTGTGGGGAAAAATTGTAAGTGCACAAATAAACGAAGAGCTATGGCTGCTGATAAAAAACAACCTAATGACGAGTGTGCACACTAGTAATAACAAGTAATCGACTAAATAATAACGACTAACTGTTTGATTAAGGATGAGTGATCCCCAAGACAACGCCCGTATACATAGAGAAAGTGTTCATACGAACGTTAAAAAAATGTAACATCTTTACCTAACTGTTTGACACAGTCTGCAACAAGCTGCTGCTCTTTTTCTTCAAGGTCCTTGGTTAGCGCCTTTAAGTGATTGGCCTAAAAGCGTTAAACTATCAGAAAATCTTCAACCGAGGTTGGTAGACAGTAAGAAACACAAATGTATGAGGACACGCTAGCACTTTGTAGATAATTTGTTATAACAACTGCCAAGAATGTCAGCAAGTTGCAAAACGGTCATATGGCATCTAGAATGACTCTGTCAGGGCCCTCAGAAATGCTCTTCAGAGAGTTCTGCTGGCCAATTCGAAATCACTTGAGGACTCAGAAAGTCATTCACGTGAAACATCTGCTAATTCGTGTCTCTTCCAACGCTCGCCTCTTCAGAAAACATACAAGAACGACATCTATGCTATTCTGGCTACGACATGAGAATGAAAGAAAACTAACTGAATAAGTTAGTTCTGCAAGGCTTTGTTCTGGTATCGAGACGTGAGACTAACAGAGTAACAAGACGAAACGTGAGGACAACACACAAAAATAAAAAATTGAACGTTACTCATGTCAAGCAGTAGGATGTGATGGCATGGAATGGCATATGACATTGTCCACCGTTCGAGCATATTATGACAAATTACATGATTCCTGCTAACTCCAACTCAGCATTTACAATAATCTTAGCGAGTCTAAGGGTAGCTTGATTGGTAAAGCACTTTCGCAGCAAAAGATGGCGGATCGAAATCCGACTCAAGTAAGTTGATGTTCATTCTTCTGAGGTAAACAAATAAGCACTATTAGGTGAGAAAGAAACGTAGTACTACACAACATTGGTGGCCACCAGGCTGCATAAATTAACTTGAAGAAAAAATAAAGCACTGATTGCGTATGGCATCGAAACGGAGATCAGAGCAGAATAATGAATTCACGAAAAACGGCTGCAAAGAAAAACGCCCATCAGGAATGTGTAATGGAGTTCGGCATATAAAAGATTACAAGCTTATCAATTCTTCGTCTACTGTACCAACAATAATGGAAACAACAGTCTTCTCTGCACCCTAAACTGACATGTAGGAAAGGCCTATTTACATAAGTTCGCTGAAACTAGTTTCGATACGATCTAGAATTCCATTCAATGATAAATTCACAGAATGCTGGTCGAGCGGTAACAGATGAGATTATTACTTCTGATTTTTGAAGATAAACCAACGGTTTCACTGATCACTGTGAATAATAGAGTTTCGCGAAGTTATCAAGTTTCATAACGTACGCAAAATCTGCCGTTGCTGGTTTCAAGGCTAGACACGAATGAATTAGGGTACTACGGCTCCATCGTAGTCCGGATTACCAAGAGCCTGTATGCTCTTGAGGAAATGTGACAGGCTGCGAAAATTCGGCGATCATAACCTATTTCACGCCACCTGACAGCTGGGGACGTGACAGCACGGCGACGGTCACAGAAAATTAACAAGAAGAAGACTAAATAAAATACGAGCAGCTAATCCTAACTATTCTAAACAGAGAAAGCAGATAGCGCGATGACATTATACACGTCAGATAAGCTTCCATCGGAACACAATACCAGCAGTGGGAGCTCACAATCCAAAATTTCAACATTTCTTTACTCAGACCGAATGTGCAGGAGTTCGCTGATAAGGCCATAACGTATAAAACCTCTGCCGGTGGAAGCTATTACGCCATATGCCAGAGAGATGCAGAAGCGTGAGATTTTCTCGTCCGGTTAACATGGGCTTTGTTGACCTAGAAAAAACCTATAACCGGATCCCGCGCAACAAACTGTGGGCGTGCCATCAAGCATATGGGGTCGACGATCAGTTGCTAGGAACTATCAAGTCGTCAAATTTGGTAGCGAGTGCTGCGTCTGAGTAAATGGCGCCTAAGCCCTTTAGCATTGGCATTGGTCCCCTCTGCTGTTTGCGTTGTACATGGATAGAATAGTTAGGAGAAGCCAGGGCGATGAGTGTATCGGTGTAGGAGATGAGAAGACGAGAAGGTTGCTGTTTGCAGACGACCTTGTTTTATTGGCATCTTCTGAAACTGATCTAAACTGCTCCTTACAAAGGTTCGCAGCCGAGTGCGACGTGATCGGCATGCGTGTGAACGCATCTAAAACGAAAAGCCAAATGCTGTCTGGTTCTCCTGCCCGTTTTTCTCTTCAGATTAACGGAGAGGCAGTGGAGCAGATGGGGAAGTTCAAGTACCTCGGAGTCGTATTTACTAGTGACGGAAAATTAGAGGAAGAGATCGACAGGCGAACTGAAATGTGCATGAACTAGTCTGAACCGTTGTGATGAGGAGAGCTGAATCTAAAGACTAAGCTGTCTGCGTTCAAGCCGATCCTCACCGCGATGGTCAGTTATGGTTTTGAGTCGTGGACTATGACTGAAATTTATCCGGGTTTACACAAGAAAAACCAAAACCTTTCAGGATGTGCCTAAGAAACTTCTCCAGGAACTGAAGCAGACGCAACTTCGCAACAGACCAACTGCCTCCTCCCCAAATTCTTTTGGTGAAGATGAATCGTAAGCAATAAAACCTCTCGATTCACAATCGCAAACTGGCTCTGGGATGTAAAGCTGTAGCCACTCAGATGCCGGCTCCCACACACATTTATGCGGAGTGCGATTTTCAACGCCTCTCGTTCAAGGAGCTAATGATGCGCCTATACCATCAGATACAACTGTGTTGTTTGCTTTCGCAGACACTATAAGCGCGCTGAAACGGCATGGTCTCAGTAAAATGATGACCTCCTTCACCACAGCGGGCGAACCTTAGTTACGCGACAAGAGCAACATGCATAACTGTATTAGCATAATCTTCAAATAAGTCAAAAACTGCAAAATACCTCTGTTTTCAGATGCACATTTTCTTCTTCCACTGCAGCCAGTTTCTTCTGTAGACCTTTCAGATTATGGATTCTGTCTCTTCTAAAAGACAGCTGTTAAAATCACGCCATTTTGCATATTTTAAATGAATACGGCGCATGGATTGAATGAAACGCTTCCCTTCACATCTGAGAAAGTGTAGGGAATTCGAAAACATTTGCGTCTGACTATTTCTGACGGTGCTTTACTTTCAACTGCCGTTAGTCTGGCGCGAAGGCAACGATGAAGAAAACAAGAAAAATCTTCTTATTAGAAAGTCCTGCATATTGCCGCATCATTTTTACTAAATATCAAGATTGTCACGCGTTCAGTCCAAAGTCACATTATGAACACTTTCCGGCAAAGAGCGGATGCGGTCTTGAAAGGATAGCTGAAATTAAATTCAGTCATCTGATATATGACCTGAATTACATTTTGAAACAGACAATCAGAGGCAGAAAGATGTGATAGGAAAGAAAGGCGAACTCGACATTAACAACAGTGGTATCGAATTACTGGAT